TATCGCGTTGACGCTAACATAGCCTTTAGGGTTGCGTACTACATTCCGAAGTTATTAGTGAGCACAGTTTTCTTACATCATCTTCGCATACCTCAAGCTGTTGCGATCGAACTGGAACTTTGTTCCTACGGTGGTCAAACTTAAATTTAAAGTATACTTCTCCTCTAAAAGAATGTCTTCTCCTTTCGCTTTTCTTCTTCTTCCTTTTGTTTTCATCTAAATAGTTTTAGTCACAATGTTTTATAAATTATACTCTTCATTCTACTATTCTCCAAACACTACTCAATTTTCCATGTATACATATGTAACGGTAGAACACAAGGGTATTTAGCAACAGAATTATTTACTGACGACTCGACGTACAGATATAGGCTAAATATATCTACCATATATCAAAATGACAGTTTGTGCATGCATTCCGTATGGTTGTCTTCGGTTCGGTGTTTTCATCTCTTCGCCTTTTAAATCCATCTCCACAAAGCAAAAACGTATTTCTCAAAGTATGTGTACAAGAAAATGGAGATGGATCGGACCATCGAATGACATCACACACCAGGCCATCACTGGCCTGGAACTCGTATATGGGAAACTCCGAGTTATGTGAGGGTAACATGGAAGAGATCAGAGACAATGGTTAATCGTGCGGTCAGCAGAAGAGGAAGGACCGCAGAGAATGCGACAAAATGGAGATGTGCTGTTGAAGCCCTCTGTTCCACTCGGAACCCAATGGAACAATAATGATGATATTAAATTAAACTGTAAAATAGGATTTAAATACAGGCCATGACCAATCTACAGTTACCCCTTCAAAAACAAAATACTCTGTAAATCTTCGCTGAGATTATTTCATCCTCATCTTTTCTATAGAAACAGTAGACTATTAAATAAAGAACGTGCGTCGGTGGTCCACTGGTAGAATGCTCACCAAATAGGCGGTCCGACGTTCGACTCCCCAGAGAGCGCACTCCCAAATGTCACAGGATGGTACGTCGGTGAACATACAACACTGGAAGCACTAGGGCAACACTGCAGAATAGACACCAAAGTCAAACGACCTTGAACCAGCCAATCAGATCACTCAGCATTACAAATGGATGCTTTCCAAAATCTTCGTTACAAGTTTGACTCTAACCGTAACCATAACCCTGAGTCAGGATGACGATTGCAACGAAGGTTATGAAAAGCATCCACTTGTAATTCTAAGAGATCTGATTGGTTGGCTGAAGGTCATTTGACTTTGGTGTCTATTCTTTACTGTTGTCACTACTGGCTGTCTTCCGATCACCGAAGTTAATCAACGTTGAGCTCAGTTAGTAATCGCATAGGTGGTCGGCCGGGAATACCGCGTTTGTGAGTCGGCGGTAGAATTCTAGCCAACCATGTATGTAGTCCTGAGTTCGATTCCCAGCCGGTGTACACGTTTACCTCAGTATAGGCGATTGTAATTTCGACAAAATAGGGGAGGTTCTGCCTGTGAGGCCAGCAGCTTCACCCCGTAAAAAAAGAACACGCATAACTGATGATGAAACTTCAAAGCTCGAGCTTGAAACTACATAAGTTCCATTGGGAATGTATAGAAGTGAAATTAATAATCTCCATTGTGACGTTAAGATAAAGAATTCAGTGAGGAAAATTCTCTTACCGACGATTTCATTTCCATTGCTGTACAACCATATATGTGCATATGAATTACAACAGACAATAACAGTCAGTTTTCTTGTGTGTGTTAAAGTTTGACACATCGTTCAACATAGTTTACAAAGTTTGTCGAAAGGGACATGAGTGCATTTGCTTTGTATACCAGAGGCTTTAGCAATACACAACATGAAGCCAGAACTTTGTGCACAAAAACAATTTGTATGACCTCTTTCGTTACCCCATAGGCTTGATTTTATCATGGAATTCACATAACAACTTTGTTACCCTTCTTTATTCCATGTTCCATTTTTGTGTTGTTTTTTTCATTTCACTTCGTGTTATCATATTCTAACATTTTATCTGGTCTGCTACTTTGACAACATTTCACTCATCCTAATGTTTCCATCATATTCACATATTCGCATTTTTGAATGTACTTTATTTTCCGAACATCTATTTCCTGCATGTTTATTGAATTTTAGGTTGACCTTTATTTATTTACATACTTATTCATTCACATATCTAATCAATTGTAATTCAGAATCCTATACACCAATATTATTATAGCACTTTAGTTTTTCCAGTTTGACCACGGATTGATTGATATCAGTTAGAGAACCATTGAAAACCACCAGCTGGGAGTACTGGACAGCTGTTTCATCAGCCTAATTTGGGAATCGTCGGCAGTACGCACCCACCAACAGGGCTCGAACCTACGACTTTCCGGTTATAAGGCAAGCGAACTCGTATACTATTCAGCTACCTCGGGGACTCGACTCTTCAATGGCAAGCCCATGAATTCTAACTTCTACCAATTCATGACATAACGCGACCACTTCGAAATGTCTTCCTCGATCAGTTACTGCCTCATCCTTCAACCTCCATATATATATATATATATATATATATATTAGTGATTCCTATAAAGTGATAAGTTCTGTGATAATCTTGTCTTGACCTTGAAAGGACAGATTAGCATGTGCACTTTACAGAATATTTATTTAAATGTGATTATTTCTCAGAAGTTGTTTGTCAACAAATTAGAAATAAATAAACACATAAAAAATTAATTAATTAATTAATCAATTAAATGCAGAATTACTGAATTATATACAATGTACTATTTATAACAGTAGTACGTGAAAATAAGTTCACACTTCTCATCTTTTAAATAGGTTCGGTGAATCTGTGTTGAAAGTTCATTTATTCAAATGAAAAACACGATTATGAATTTTGCTTTATTTTATTTTTTCTTTGCTCTTCACTAAATTCATAATTTTAAAAACAAATTTATGTGAAGTAACGTTTATTTAATGAAGACATACACCTAGGTTGTTTCTCAAAACTGAATTCTCATAAAATTTGTGAACATTTGTTAGTATGTAATAAGAAAAAGACGTAAACAGCGAAGAAAATTTTCTCTTCTCGACGATCCAGTTTCATAATCTGTACATACACATAAGCTGTTTCATCAGCCTAGTTTGAGAATCATCGGCATTATCCATCCATCACCAGGTTTCTGACCCACGACCTTCCGGTTACAGGACAAGCTTGTATACCATTCAGCCACCACTGGGACCCGACCACCCAATGACCAGCCCATGAATTCTAACTTCTACCAATTCGTGATGACTTTAGCGAGACCACTAAGCAATGTCATCGGCGGGAAACCCATCCTGACTCCCGACTGGATGCAGCTCATTGGTCACGACTTCTCACTAGAACTCCAGGAAACTCCGTCCTGTAGCAAGTCACTAGCGAGCACCAGATTAATTTTCATGAGTTCAAAATAACACTTTAATATTTCCACTCACTGTTAAACCTTAACAAACACACAATAAAACTGATTATTATTGTCTACTGTAATTCGAATATATATATATATATATGATCGTATAGCTATGAAAACGAATTCGTCGAAAACAGAATTTTCTCCACTGATTGATGAGACGGGAAGGTTAGATGTGAGCCTAGCTAATCCTGGAACATTAAAAACAAACATCCCCGCGTCCTGTCTGTCTTTAACATAGAGCTTGCACTGATGTGCAGCAGTTCGACTGGCCACACTTCATGTAGAACACAAAGCAAGAGAAGAAAGTAAAAAGGAATGCAAAATAAAGACAGTACACAGAAATGAGATAAAAGGAATAGTAACACTGAAGAACAATATAGTCTCACTGGAGATTATAAGTTACAAGGAGTGGATGCATCTGCACCAGCCATTGAGAACGATTTTGAGCCATATCACAAATTGTTCCCAGCCATTGGTGTTTACTGTCCCGGGGACTCCAAACAGGAAGTCTACACCTCCCTAAATGGCTGGCTGAAACTAATTGTTATGGATTTCATTGACTGATAAAGCCATGTTTTGGTTTGACCACCACTGGCTAACTCTTTTCCAAAAGTTATTTGTTATCACCTTAAACCTACCTCGGTAATCCAATTTAGAACCAATTTACTTCATAATATTTTCAACCCCTTCTTTTTCTCCTTTTATCTTTCTTACCCACACCTTTTGCGTTTCCCTACCCATTATTTGTGACCTTAACCTGCATTGTAATTATTCATGTCTTCTATAAAAACTGTGTATGACAAGTATATGTGTGATCAGAATGTCCGAAATGTGTTGCGCCAATACATTACACGTTTCAGATAAACTACGTCTTCTTATTGCGCTGTCGAAATTCATAAAGGGAACTAATTGCTTTAACTGTTTTCCAATTAGATCAATCCTATGTTAGCTAACATTGACCGTCAGTCGAGGAAGGCGATGGCTAGGTGTGCATGTGTAACACATGTCAATCGATGCAACTTCACAACTTCGTCTATTGATTTCCTCTCTTTACCTAGCACTCGACCGATGCCTATAGTCAATATTGCTCACCTTATTATACCACTTCACACGGAAGATAGAACGCAGACACATATGATCAAAGAAAGCTAGCAGGCTTTTTCATGTCTTCCACTTTCGATGGTCATGTCTCACAGCTATAAAGGAGGACGGAGCAAACTACTCAGCAGGACACATGCCATTTGGTCGATAGCCAGCCGGATACCACATCTACGCCAAAGACAGCGTAAACTGGCAAATGCCAAACAAGCCTTCTATATCCGTGCTGAGATTTCATTAGCAATCAACCCGCTGGTGTTGGCTGATGCAACTTCCCAAATGAAGTGAAGTGGTCAACACGCTCCACTAACCACTTCACTCCCTATTTCTAAGCTAGAAGTCAATGTAGTCCCTCCCCACGTTATTAACTCTTCAAAGCTTGTAGCCTCATATGTTCCACCACTCAGAATGCAAGAAGAATCGAAAGAGAAGAATAAAAAGAAGGACCAAATTTTTAAAAAAAAATATATTTCTTTCAAAATAAAATCGCAAACAAAACAAATAAAAAATAGTGTGAGAATATACACACAGAGACTCGGAAAAACGTATTAGATACACGCGAATAATAATTAAAATAATAATAATAATGGAAGATGGGCTCAATACTACTGCATGTACATCGTTGTCATTGAAAGGAACACTATGCATTAAAGTCCCTGAATTTTGGTTTTAAAAAAGAACAAAAACAGAAAACAATCCTTTTGGAGAAAATGAACACACTTCTTCTATTTTTTGGTTGTTGTTGAACATAATATAGGTAAGTCAGCTATTGAAAGACACTAAGGGAGGAATGAGAAAGGAATGTTCGCATTAACACTACTACGATAATGCAGTAAGTAGTACATCGGTTTTAAGTGTATGTGTGTTAAAATGCAAAAGCAGTAATTATAAACGTAAATATCTTAAACTATTTACAACATACATCATAGGGATAGGCAGGAAGCGTACAATCAGATAACAGACAACAGCTGTTTGAAATAAGACAAGAGTCAATAGTTGCGGATAATAACAATAGGATTCAAATATTCGCATACCTGTTGGCTTAGTTAATAATCTCGTTGTTGTTGTTGCCGGCTTCATCTGATCAGTATTCATAACATCTTCATAACATTCCATTGATATATCTGTAGCATAAGTTCCATGGATTGATGATTCAAATTTTGTAAATGGACAAGAACTCGCTGTGTTGAAAGCGCCACAATATGGTGGCCAAAGATTTATTAATTTTACAGTGTTGTTGTTGTTGAAAGGGAGTCTGGTTTCATTGAAATAATAGAAGATGAGGTGGAAATCGTCGACAGTTGATCTTGGACGACGTAGTTCTATGATTAGACAACTTGCTAAAGGAGGTTTCAACCTTTTTCATAGAAGGAAATAAAACAATTTAAATATATTATATACATATATATGTATATCAGTTATTAAGTAGAACTTGAAAAATATTGGATGTGTGAGATGAGGCAGTAACTTATCGAAGAAGACATTGCGAAATGGTCGCGCTATGTCGTGAATTGGCAGAAGTTAGAATTCAAGGACTATTGGTTCAGGTCCCAGTGGCTCAATGGTCTACAAGCTAGCTCGCCTTGTAACCAGAAGGTCCTGGGTTCAAACCAACTGTGCTGGGTGCGTACCAATGAAGAGTCCCAAACTAGGACGAAACAACTGTCCAGTACTCCCAGCTGGTTTTCCAGTGGTTCTCTAACTGATGCCAGCTCATGATGAAATCTTCCATGAAATATTTTATACTCAAATTTAAGATTATTGGAGGTATTATGACACTGTCAGCAAGAGATCTTGATTAATATTGTTTCTAGGGATAAATGTTGAAGTTTTGTCATTTTGAAATATAAATCACAGGCTTTCTTTTCATTCATCTTGCTTTATGATGTTGAAATTACTTCGCGCAAGTCTTATTACCTTTCAAATGATCGACTGTGAAGTATGCTCTGAGCACCTTGAGCTGCAAACTGCGAATGTTTAGCATGCGATTCGTTCCCGTCAAATGTAAGATGATGCTACAGGACTGACTGGACTACATTGACTCCTAGCTTAGAAATAGGGAGTGAACTGGTAGAGCGTGTTGACCAATTCACTTCATTTGGGAAGTTGCATCAGACAATGCCAGCGGGTTGATTGCTGACGAAATCTCAGCACGAATACAGAAGGCTTGTTTGGCGTATCCCAGTTTACGCCGTCTCTGGCGTAGATGTGGTATCCGGCTGGCTATCGACCAAAGGGTATGTGTACTGCTCAGCAGTTTGCTCCGTCCTCCTTTATGGTTGTGAGACATGGCCATCGAAAGTGGAAGACATGAAAAGTCTGTCTAGTTGTCTTTCATCATAGGTGTCTACGTTCTATCTCCCGTGTGAAGTGGTATAATAAAGTGAGCAATATTGAGGTTAGTCATCGGTCGAGTGCTAGATAAGGAGGATAAGTTAATCAATGAGGTCGTGAAGCTACAACGATCGAGATGTTTAGAACATGTGTTAGGCACTCCGAGCCATCGCCTTCCTTGACGGGCGGACATAGGATAAGGTTGGTAAACAGCTTGGGTGGTGTGTTCAAACCAGGACATAGCATCAGTCAATGAAATCCACAACAGTTAATTTAAGCCAACCAGCCAGCCACGTAGGGAATTGTAGACTGTTGTCTAGTTGGGGTCCTTAGGACGGTAAAAACGAATAAGGGCTGGAGTGGAGACAATCGGTGATATGGCTCAAAATCGTTCTCAATGACAGCGCAGATGCATCCACTCCTTGTGACTTATAATTTCCAATAAAATTATATTGTTCATCATTATTACTGCCTCGTATTTCTGTCTACTGTCTCTATTTTACATTTCTTTTAACTTTCTTCTCTTGCTTTGTTTGCTACATGGAGTGTAGTGACTCGAATTATTGCATATTGGTGCTGAAACCAGCCAGTCAGTGAGTCATGCTCTTTACGATGATCGATTTCTATAACATATTGTTTTGATTAAATTGTTTTCTGATGGCTTGCTTACACCACCGAGCTACCTAAATTCCCATCCAACAAAACGGAATCACATTTTTTTCTAATTCTTATTTTTTGAACTATTCAAAATTATCACCTTGAGTCATAAAGTGTACTCATGCACATTTTAAATTGACTTTCAGCCTACTAAAGTGTGCATTTCTCGTTGACAAAAGAAAAAAATATCATGAAGGATTAGTCTCTATGCTTCACATTAAACATCACTGAGTCACAACATGACACACTCTACAGATTGCGAATTCACTTCACTTGAAGATCCACAATGAAGAGGAAATATGATGCAATAGGATTACGCCCTCTGAGTCAAGCCAAAGCGAGCACACAGCTGATGAACTCGGCCTCAATCGAGAGGAACAGCCGTCACCTAGATCTAGTTGGCTGGCTGGCAAGCCCTACTACCGGTTGATATATGAGTGGTACACAACTACTACTCATCTCAATTAATCAGTAGTATATAGTTCTCACGGTGAAAATAATGAGTAATTAAGAGATAAATGAGTTTTCGAACTGATTACGTAATAAGCAATGAAAGATGAAGTAGGCAGAAAAATAAAATAATGGTAACTTGTAAAAGGCCCATAGGAGGCGGGTAATTGTCAGTTTTTTTTAAAGGTTCATGTAAAGATAGCCAAGGTAAGGAGAATGGCTGTATGAATTCCTTCTGAACACACAGATCTGGCTGCTTTAGGTGGATTTCGATGACTTCAGTTGCATGTAGAAGACAAACTCATTGAGCAAAATGAATAATTTTTCAAGAGTTACTTTGTAGGAATTTGATTTGTCTCAAGTGTGACCACAGATTGACATCAGTTACAGAACTAGTGAAAACCACTAGGGAGTATTGGACAGCTATTTGGTCCTAGTTTATGACTCATCAGCAGTATGCATCCGCCGGGGTTCAAACCTAGGGCCTTCCGATTACAAGACAAGCCTAATTAACATCAACTTTAAAGCCCACCATCTACAAGGCGTGCTAAAACAGAACTACGAACAGATCTTGTTTGTCTCTTGCTTAATAATGAAGGATGAATCTACCTAATTGTACGCCAAATGTAACTAGCTCCACAGAAGCAATCAAACTGTTAGATACACACTCACACAGGAGGTGAAATTAAGTAGTTTATCCTTATTCCACAAACATAAAATTGTAGTAGTTGTGAAGAGACAGAGTAGTCCCACCCCACACACACACATTCTTCAGGCTGCTCCTATTTCCCTGATGTTATGTCGTATTAATTCTCTTGGTTAATAATTATCGCCCCCCCTTGACACCTTGATATTGACGAATTGTTGTTAACAAACTTATCACCACTAGATTGGTAAAGTGTTTTTGTATTATTAAAAATGCTATATGCATATTAGAGTAGGGCCATAAATGAGGATCTAATTGAAAAGTAAACATTACTTGACTCAGTCCTTTTGTCTTCTAAAAGATGGGAGCACTGTACTTTGTTTTATTAAAACAAGCGAAACTAAGAAATAAACAATCCTCAGGTATTAATTTTGTAGGGAATTTTGTTTTCTTGGTTGGAGGATTTCATCATGAGCTGACTGACATCGGTTAGAGAACCATTGGAAAACCACACACACCATGAAGTACTGGACAGTTGTTTCGTCCTGGTCTGGGACTCTTCATCAGTAGGCACCCACCGCTAGGGTTCGGAACCCATGGGTCATTGGATCGGGTCCCAGTGAGTGGCTTAATGGTCTACGAGCTAGCTTGCCTTGTAGCCAGAAGGTCCTTGGTTCGAGCCCTGGCGGTGGGTGCGTACTTCTGGGGAGTCCCAGACTAGGAGGAAATAGTTGTCCAGTACTCCCTGCAGGTTTTCCAATGGTTCTCTAACTCATGTCAGCTCATGATAAAATCCTCCAACTAATTAAATAAATAATCCCTTTTTATATACAGCCAAGTTAATCACTACTACTTAACAGTTAAAAGTCAATCACCCTATTGAATAGAAATGAAATTCAACTAACCCATTATATACACCCAGATGACTCATTAAAGCCGCCAGTGTAGAATCATGCGCAAAATAGGCAACAAATCGTCGATGAAGTCCTTCTGAAGACTGATGATTTTCATCAGGAGGATTATTCTGATCTTTAGTTTTTATTTCTTTATCGATTCGTTCACGAAATAAGTCAACCAGATGACCAGCTAATGGACCACCACGTAATCTTGTTAAATGTGGTTCAGAAAATCGAATATAATGCTTGAAATCCAATAGGCTAGAACACTTTTGATAAACATCCTTAGTCACCCATTTCGGTATTGAAGGCAGTCCTTGTTCAACCCATATTGTGATAGGATCACATAGACGCCAGGCAGGATAGAAATTTTCAGGTGAACTTCTATCCTTTGGGAAAGTGTAACCTGAACAAATAAAAATAAAAGAATTAGAATAACAATAGACGCTTGATGACAATGGAAAGACTGTGATTAACAGTGGTAAACGAAGACTTTGGAAGTTAGTGTTAGTTATAAAATTTATGCACTAGCATGTAGTGTACATTGAACCTTTGAACTTTTGTTTCAATGCACCCACCCACTTTTGGTGTTACTTCATCTTTTGATTTGTGACTCTCCTGTACATACTAGGTTCGCTCTCTCATTGTGCTTTCATTCAGCGCACTCTTTGAGCCTACCACCAGTCAAGGCAGCAGATAAGTTGTATAACACCTTTATTTATTAAATTTGATATTTCATTTGCGTAAAATACAACTCCGTCCCAGAAACACTTCACAATCTCAAGTCTTTTTACTTTGATTTCGTTCGTCAGTACTTACACGTGTGTTGGAGTGTGAAGTTTTTAGTAATTGTGGTTATTTTGAGGTCTATCTTAAGTTTAACCTTACAGCTTACAGGTACATACGTAAAAATTTTTCAACAAGAAACAGGGGAGAACAAAGCAAAAGATTAGAAGAAACAAAACTAAAATAAAGGCAGAGGCAGAATGCATTTACGAGGACTAAGAGCACAGCGACTGATTGACTGACTGACTAGTTTCGACACACAACTTTTCACAAAATTACACCAGTTCGAGTTGCAACATTCTATATAGAACACACAGGAAGACAAAACGGAGAAAAAGGAGATTCAAAAGAACAATAATAAGCATAAATGTGAGACGAAAAGAGTAGTAACATGACGTTTTAGTGAATCTAAGAGTGACAACGATTTCGAGCCATATCACCAATTATCTGCAGGCGGAATCAGCGGAATCCAGATCTTCTAAAGTCCTCTTATCGGTTCAACGTATTCCTGTCTTGTCCCTCTCCATAATCTGCCGTATGATCCAGTCCAGTCATCGATAATAGTAATGGGTAATCTTGTCTTACTCCTGTCTTCACTTCAAAGGCTTTGTTGAGCTTTCCGTTGTGAATCTTTTGACACGTGTCATTGTCATGTAGCTACTGAATGTGGCTGAGGAAGGTTTGGGTGCACTCAGTAATGTTGAAGCAGCTTCCAAATTACTTCAACGTCGACACTGTCGAAGGATTTTACAAATTCGATGAAGTTGAAGTGGAAATTTGACTGACCCTCTCTTCTCTCAGTTCGATTACAATGTGTAGCCCCCGCCCCCGCCAGAAAAAAGTTTTGGCATCTTGTGAAACAGAGCAATATTTTTCATTGGACACTAGTCAGTAACCAGTGTAATGTATGTGTGTGTGTGTACAGATCTATCTTTGGTGCAGACTGAAATCTGTCAAGTTTGCAATGTGGTCACCGTGCCACTAGATGGCTCGCCATCACGGTGCACTGTGAATTGTTGATTTCAGATGGTTGGAGGCTATCGGCCTCAGATAGCCCTACTGGGGCCTAGGTTTCGTGCTATTTGGCACTCACCAGTCAGCAAGGCGTATCTGCAACCTTCAAAGAACTCATGTCCCGTTCAAATTCGGAATGTATAGTGTCAGTGTTATCTCACATAACAGATTTCAGGAGAAAACAAACCACTGCTTATTTAAACCTGAAATATTCATATATATATATATATATATATATATATATATATATATATGGAGAAGTTCAACAATAGCGTTCCAGGGGTGTGAACGCTCCAATGACCTTGAACGTATGCTAGTCGTTGGCTGACGGCACCTATCATTATCACAGCTGAAATACCAACACTATGCACCAACTCAGCGGCAAATTTTAACCAGATCACGTTTTTAAGTACTCTTTGGACAATGTGTCAGTAGCTCGTTAGGATTAGGGTTAGGATCAGGGTTATAATTAGCATCATTTTTAGAATTACGATTTGGATAGGAGTTATGATTAGGGTTTGGATTAAGGTTAGAGTGAGTGTTAGGTTAGGGTTACGACTAGGGATAAACTTAGACTTGATATCATTTATTTTAATCTGTTTTGTTATCCCCATTTTCTTGGTAAGTAGTTGTTGATTCTCTTACTTGGAAACATAGTAATTCAACCAAGGGCTTTGGGGAAGACTGCACAACAGGATAAGAGAGATAAACTTTTCACAAAAACAACTCATCTTCAGTCACCTCGTTGAATACATGTGTAGAAACTAGTCTAACTTAGCAACTGATACTCTTCATTATAGCTGGGACGTATTTTTAAGTCATGTCAGAGAAAGGTAACCTGTTTAATGTGTTTTCATACACTTTCTTGTACATATACGTCATTTTTTGTGCAAAACTTCCTCATTTTTATGATTGGTCAGCTGAGGGTCATTAGTGCGTTCGCATCCCTTGGGACGTAATTGCTGAACTTTACCGTTTACATTTATTCCAGAGTGGTAATTCAAACAGTGATACTGAAAAACGCTTATCTCACATCACTTACCAGTCATTCGCTCCAGATAGGAGAAAAAATCTTGCAAGCTTTTTGCTTTTTTAAAAACTGCTGACGAGTTCATCAAATTGTTAAACAGCCTCTTGAATTTAGGACATTTACTAGACATTTTCAACAAATGATCTTCATTTACCATTCTGGAGAAGACAGGAGGCAAATGATTTGTACTTTCCTTTTCTAGTTGATATAGTCCTCTGATAAAATTATTTGCAGACATAAGTGTTCTTTCAGTGCCTGAACTACGAAATAATACTTCATCCTATCATTTTATCAATTTGAGAATAAAAGAAAACATTCATTACCTTGTGATAAACTTCAGGAATCAGACTGGCATACATTTTACGAATCATCTGGCCAAGTTCATGGTGTTGTTTTGCACCATAAGCTGTTAACTGACCATATCCCATTTTCCAAAGCTTTCGAAAAGGATCAGTTGGAAAAGTGTGAACAGGAGACCTGTCCCCGTGTCGACAAAGAATAAATACCATAATTAAATCTTCTGTTTCTTTTGTGTTAACCTCGATAACCAAAATGGAGTATATGAGTAGATATACAATGAATGAAAATAGTGTTGAATGAATATTCCTGCTCATTATGGAGTTAATTGTAATTTGAAGGGAGGAAGAAAAAAATAAGGCTTTATATAGTATTATGCTTGTGTTGTAGTTCACTAAAGAAATGAAGGAAATGATTGAAGTGCTTCACTAGTAGAAAATCATATCATGCTTCCTAACTAATATCTCCGGAATCCTAAAGATGATCAAGAAATCCAAGTGTAGAGACTTCCATTCACGTAAGAAGCAACAAAAGAAAGGCGTTTCTTTAATTTATGCAACTGAGTTTTTCATATATAAAGTTGAGAGGAGGTTTGGACTACGAAAATATTGCATGAACACTCGATTCCACAAAAATATTTCAGGAAAGTCGGCAGACGATACTAATCTGTAAAATAAAATTGTGAAAAAAATAGAATAACCAGATTATTAAAACTCAAAAAGCATAACCTACGTTTAAAATAGAAAAACGAAATAATTTAGAACAAACACAATTGTAAGCTGAGAGATAAAGCCCAAATCACGATACACACATATCTAACCTAATAAATGAGAACAATTATATTTTTAAAAATGGCCTATTTAACAGAATTATGCAGCCATGGGTCCAGCAATGAACACGTCATATGATGCTACTACACAGTCTCAATCTCAGTAAGGTGATTAGCGTGTAAACTGCTAACTTGCGATTCTCTAAGCCGATGGATGGGTATTTGGTTAACACTGGATGAACTGAAAGGTTGTTTTCTTTTTTTAATTTTGATTACAGCTTGATGCCACACCGTATTTTCAGTACAAGTGTGGGATTTTCAGCATGGATATCGGTAGCCCAAATTTTGCAGGCCGACCATAGATATCAGGTGTGCGTCGGCAGGGGATCGAACCCCGAACCATGTGCGTGGTCGGCGAGAGACCTAACCACTGTGCCACCGACGCACATAAAGGGAGGGCCGTGAGGCCTCCCCATTGACAAAAACTACACGCCCGATTAGGGTCCGTCGAGAGTTTCAACCCACCGAGGTGCAATGGTGAGCCTCCACCCGGGGTCAGAGCATTCTTGATCACCCTGAACCCAGTTCTACTATAAATAATTTCACATAAGCAGACGGACAGCAAAATCTAAAATAAATGTTTAATTTTGACCTGGCATAGTGTTACAAAAAGGTCAGCTGAATTCAGAATGGAAAGCATACAGAAGAGGAACGTCTTACTAAGCAAATACTTGTATTTGCATATAGCTGGCAATATGATAACTATATGTTGACATTTATGATACCGCCAAGCTGCCCAATACTAGTTAGGTGGGCAGAGTTTGAAGTCATAGCCCAGTGGTTGGAAGCCATGCTCCTCATGAAAGCATGTTAGATGCGTTCAAGGTAAACTTTTAACTTAAAGGAAGAATGGGTGGATGTTTTGTCATAGAGGATGTTTACTAATGTTATTCAGAGTTTGTCATAGATTCCAAAGACTACAATTTCTTATATAGCTAGAACCAAGAGTAAACCGTTTCGTTTGCTGATGCACAGGAATTTAGGTTAGTTAAAGCTTGCCATTTAACAAGGACACATGCTCAGCAGTTGGATGAATCAGAAATGTGCTGCAGATACATGTAATTGGCATGAAGGTGGTATCGAACAAGAGTGTGTATTACTTTCCGTAGTTTGAAATATATTAGAAATCTACTATCGATATGCCGATAAGGATTTCTGTATGCAGGTAACTGTAACATTGATAATCTGAACTCCTGTTCAGTGTTTTACTCGTGATTTATGACACTCCAAATCCTTTCACGATTGTTATAGCTCCCTACCCATACTAATAATTACTGAATTGGTCGTTAGAACTCCTCCTGGAGTAAAAGTTTGGGCAGCCACAGGCAATATCGGACCTAAATCAATATGCGTAACTCGTCCTATTTTTGAGTGCATTTAATCAGATACGTTTCGTTATATTATTCTACCTTAATTTAAGAAATATATCCTAACTATCAATATCAAATAATACCGGAAATAGTGAATTTTGGTGTCACTAGTTAATTGAGCAATAAACAGAACTTTATATTGCACGCTAGTCATATATTATCCTGTTCTTAATATCGCGTTCTTAATATTCGTTTATTTTTTCTCCATACGGTGTCTTTAAAATGTCATAATTTTTATTATTACCACTCCAAAAATTCCATATGCTCATACACATTATTACTGAAAGAATATCTTCGCTTCCGCGACCATGGCTTTCTGAATATATAAAGTGATGTTTATAATACTTTAAGGACATAAATTGGACGTATATATAAATTATCCCTAGAATACAGAACGTAAAATGTAATAGTTCGAAAATACCACAAGAGCACTCACATTTGACCTTCATACGAAAATAGCGCAAACGACAGAAATACCAGTGTGATTATGCAAAAGAAATATTCTGGCGTCAATGCCCAATATACCTTGGCTTAGCTTCTTCGAACCTTTCGATTTCCTGGAGCATTTTCCTGGCTCCTTCAAAAAACTTTCTGGACGTTTGATAGATTTTAGAGTTGAATGTCGTTTCAACTGGTGTCATATCTCAGAATACAATGAAGAAGTGCATCCGTTTATTTTGGAGGGAACTCATGGCTTGTACAGGGATACGGCCTCTGTTAAGTCTCACGAATTCCATTTCCTCAGGTAATCCCTCAGGAGGGCCAACATATGATCTGCAGAACACGGTACCAAGTGGGTGGGATGGGGATCAAAACAATCTGGAGATAAAAAATGGAATTTTCGGCAAGACGAAAGGTGCTTAACATGTCGACCATGGGAGACCAAGAACACACACTGGGAAAGAACCAGACTGATGGGAATTGGGCCATTAATATCCGGAGTAAAACAGTGAAGTATGTAGTGTCGGTGGAGACCATTAGAACTAGTCTGCTTCCCCTACCAGTGAGCGTAAACCTACCATTTCGTACACGTTTTTTTGTAGCTATCAGAACTTGGAAGTTCCGTTTTCAATGAGGTTAAAGGCAGCAGCAACAGCAAAATACATTAATCTCCAACAGATAATTTTCTTTGTGGAGAACCAATGTGTGGTTTGCATGATGTAGTGAAGGAGATAGTTCTGTACTGAATTGCAACTGCAATGGTAGTAACTGAATGTATCTTAGAAGGACAAAGTACCAACCAGATTTTCGCTGAGGACAAATGGCAAACATTGTTATTATAAGTTCATATCTCAAAAAATTGTCGACGATTAGTAAACAGAGTTTAAAAACGAGAATTTTCCTGAAATAAGTGGTAGTCTTCTAAATTCATGCTTTAGGTAATACAAATAATGGAGAAGGAAATTGCAGGAGCATCAAATCTTTGCGCCAGAAACAAGCTCTTCATTAGTATGTGTCAGGAACTGTTCTACAGAAGGAAGAGATAATAAAGAATTTCATTGCTGATGCATTCTAAATACGCAATCAATCGCCTCTGGTAAAAGTTATTAGAGAATGCAAACACACCTTCACACACTTTAAAAATTAGGAACATCATTTGTCCTCGTTACAAATCTCTGGCTATCATTTATGGGAAGCAATAGTCTGTTTATCACCTATGTATAACTTCCCGAGAAAACAATTTACAACGTCGTTAGCTTGAGAATTATGCACGTTTGCCACTCAGTATCTGTTTTGATTAAGTCAGACATTCCTTCAAGCTTCCACTAAACTTTCGTCACTCGGGAACTCACAGGTGATATTCTTTCTCATTCTGATATGCGCCAACGGTCATTATAATTATTCTACGAGTAATAGATCACTACCCACATGTAACGTAATTTGGTCCTATACAAGACCTTTGTTGAAATTTGTGGTACTTTAACTAAACTAACTTTAAGTTACTGGTCTTTCTGATTACTTCTAAAATATTCTCACTGTACCTTATACTTTAGTTTTCCATTTTAGTGGTAAGTAATTACCTGAAATTATTAGCCTACAGCATTCGTCACTTAGTAGCACATGTGCTCGTGATCCTAGGAGAGAGCCTTTACCACTACACAGGTTATAATCTACATGATGTTCAATTTTGAAGTGTCTTCAGAATTGTCCCTTACCCTAATCTTGCATTCAGCAGAAATATATTGCCAGATATCGGGTCTAAGCACAACTCGGTTCTTCATGGAGAACGAGGAAATTTGGGTGACTATTATTTTCCGTCAAACAGTTATGATCATTCGTTTACTGAACAATAAAGTTGTTTGTTTGATTACCAGAATTACCGGTGGCACTGAGATGATGGAGCGCATGTTGTAATCAGTAGCACATCGTAAAAGAATTAAGTTATATATACACAAGATGAAGTACAGTTTATTCTTTATCTATCTAAGTAACTGGTTTGCGGAGGCCATCACAAGGTGTCCATCCACTGCCAGCAGGTTCTTGGATGTTCACTTCCAAATAACTGATGGCTGTGAAGAGTCTTCAACGAGAACTCTGTAAGCTGTGATGAAGATAATTTAGTAACTCGTTATAATATTAAAATGAATGTAAAATAATCAACCGACATCGCATATACTGATAGAAGACAATAGTTGGTTTTGAACGCATATTTTTATTAGCACGCTGACTGTAGGCAAGTGAAGTGGGGAAATCTACTCAAACACTCAGAAGGACACTCACCATTCGATGGAGAAAAGGACGTTACAAATCGTAAAGATATAGTTCCTACGTGGCTGCTAGTCTCGTCCTTATGTCTTCCTTAATCACTGACCATCTGTGAGTTATAATAGTGTTGTATAGGTCGTACAGTACATTTGGGATATTTGACCTGTGGTCTTTCAAATTTCATTTAAAATACGAGGTTTTTGAATATGCATTACTTTCCAACTACGTGACATATGTGACTCTTGAATGGAAGATCATGGAAATTCACCAATTCAAGTGAACTTGAGCCATTTCACCTTTAACAATCAATTCATTTATCTATGTAGACCGAAACACATTGCGGACAACAGGATTTCCAAGGGAAGAAGGCATCGTTGCTGTGCTGCGTTGTGATTGCTTATCGCAATATCCTCTTTGCACTGTCATTTATAAATACATCTTAAAACAGCCGTAAGTACTATATTTTGCTTTCACTACTAGTTGCCTTGTTGAAAGCAATGTAACCACCAAGTAAGGTAGATCATGGCTAAAAATTCACTGGACAGTGTGCCTACAGTGTTCGTTTAGCAGGATAGGTGGCCACATAACAGTCATGAGCGCTATTTCTAGTAGAAGCCAGAGTCGGGTGCAGATACTAACGTAACACTTACTGAACTTCTGGAGTCATTCCCGTTTTGCATGAATGTAAACGGCACCATGGTTCTGATTAGAGGCGCTTACAAATCACTAAGAGGAGAGGCGAAACACAGATAATAAATGATCGAAGCAGTTCTTATGGTCTCAAGAATTTGAAAATGACCAGTTCATTATCACTGGTGATTTATCCACACCACCTCTAAGCATTAGAGTCAATAGCGCTAATGGGGAAGTCTTCACTAGAAAGGTGTTGAATGCTTTGGCTTCGTGAGGCCTTCTGTAGCGAGCATGGTGACCTATCCGAAGGATTGCTGGAGGAACGAAACTTTCTGATTCCAGTGGCTCAGGTTCTTGGCACGAACCATGCAATCCTACGTACAACAAAATAAACCATCTGGGTCTAACGAAGCTGCACCAGCCACGACAACAGATTACACTGAAGTCCAAGAAATATCTAGAAACCTTTCCAAACAAGAAAAGCGATAGGAAGGAAATCCTAAGATCTATACAATCTTATCATGAATATATTAGATACTAGATATCAAGCAACTTCAAGAGCAAGTAGACTGGTATATGCATTTTAAAGTGGCCCAATGCGACAGCTTGTTTTTCGCGTTCTGGCTGAACAGTTTCTTGCGGGAAAATCTCAGTCGTAGGCTCGCGGCGAAGTATGTTTTCCTCAGAGATTTGGAGAGGCGTTTACAAAGGATTTTTGCTCCAATGTCACATTTGAATTCTAGATTAAGCAGAAGTCTTTTCTTCAGAACGGATTGGACTCGATCGGAAGTCTTCTTTGATTTCAGATTCGTGTCCACGAACCTGGGCGGAAAAGAGTTTTCCGTCAGGGTTATTCGAAGATTACGCAGTTATTCGTCAATCACTTCCTCGCTGCATATCTTCCGGATCTTCGAGGTAAGAGCGTATGTCAGGTTTTTCTTTCTGCTTAGGGGCACGAAGCTTTGAAAGTTGACGAATTTTCCATTCCATGTAGGCTTTCTGTAGATGGTCCTTTTCAGAGAATTATTGGCGTTTCTTGTCAGATGGACGTCAAGGAAGTGGAACATTCCGTCGGATTCAGCCTCAAGTGTAAAGTCGATGTTTGGTTGGGCGTCATTGAAGATTTGAAGTAGACCCATGTACAAAAGAGCTTACATGGAATGGGTATATTGGCCGTACCAGGCGCCAACTTGGAAAACGCACTCGTGAAGACCCTCAAGCCTGGCTAGTAAAAGGAGAACGAAAACGTGTATATAGTTCAGTGACAGAACACCTAGTCTTTTCGGGACATCCAGCGCCATTCGAGAAATCCTTCAAAATAATATACAAGATTCGATCAAACCTATCAAAGGGAGTGAAATTAAGACATCTGGACATATCCGAGGTACTAGCTATCCAAAAGCTCAAACGCGCGCTTTGTATCCAAAAGAAATACGTCCAACCCTTGTCCCTGCCATGGCCATCATAAACAGGTACTTCTTTTAGTAATGACCATCTGATTGCCTTTCTTATCCAAACTTCCTGTTTATTCACGTTATTTTATTATTTCTAAATATTGAAGCCCTGATTGCATAAACAATTATTCGTCATATTAGTTGTGATCCCACTAGATTTTGTTATCCAAACATCCTGTCTACTGTTATTTCTACATTTCTAACCTGCAATTACACAATGTGTCAGTCTTCTCAGTAATTATGATGCCACTTTGTTTGAGTTGTAAGTGTTAGACTAGACTTAAGGTAAACCACAAACTAACCACACTTACAAAAACTTCACCACTTCATAACCTAAGCAGTACTCTACCTAGCGTGTAAGTACTAACGATGTAAGTACTGAGATGTAAGTGTGTCTGGGACGGAGTTGTATTTTACGCATATGAAATATCAAATTTAATAAATAAAGGTGTTATACAACTTATCTGCTGTCTTGACTGGTGGTAGGCTCGAAGAGTGCGTTGAATGAAAGCACAACGAGAGAGCTAACCAAGTATGTACAGGAGAGTCACAAATCAAAAGATGAAGAAGTGCCAAAAGTGGGTGAGTGCGTTGAAACAAAAGTTCAAAGGTTCAGTGTGCCATACAGAGTTTTATCCGTTGCCCTGTTTATTATGGCATTTTAATTCCTAATAGTAATTTTATTAATTTGACCATTAACTGGAAATTATTCTGGAACTGTTATAAATACACGAATGTACAGCCTAGTTGATGACTTCGTCGGAAAGAAAATTTTCTTCGCTGTCTTTTTAACATTTATTTACTTAAACCCAAAACAAAGTCACTCCGTTTCGCATTTCTCATACTCTTCATCCGTAATATCCGATTTGTAAGCTAGTTCTGAATTAAGATGCCTCATATACTTCTCTTCGTACAACTTTTTGGCTGGTTTAGTCGTAGAAATGAAATTGGACAAAAACAATTTTTAGAATTAAAGTCATCACAAGCATCGTTTAACCAAAATCAGTGTCATCGCCACTCATATCAGAACCACTTTCATAAAACAACGGTTCAGGCAAAAATCTATCCCTCTAGGTTCTAGTCATTAGCCGTTGCAAAATATTTTTGTATTCCAATCCACCAGATATCATTCCGAACAAGGCTGTACGGGAAGAGTCAAAGAGGTTAAAATATCCCGAAGGTAATATTCCAACCAGCCAAGAACAAAACTGAGGAACTTTAGGTGAACACCAAGTACTCAGATCACATGCAATGAGGTGATGAACTCAGCGAATTTAATGTAATAGCCAAACCAAAGGACTAAAATGTTTCAGAGAGCTATATATTGAAATCGTCCTATTCACGAAATACATCAACTAGTCATATTGCAAATCTTCAGTTTCCAGTGTCAAGACACAACTTAATGGCTGGACAAAATGGTTGTCGATTACAAAGTGTGGATCCAAATAAATAATATACGCTGCAGTCAGAGGTAAATGACGAAATTGTCTAGACCACATTAAAATGAAGAATAAGGTATAACCATAGTGTCTGACATCTCATTACTAGATGTAACAGGTTGACGGGACAGTGAAGAGATGAAGGAACTTACAACTTCAGTACAGCAATTGTCAGTCACTCCGGTCCATTCGAATACCAATTCTCCGCAACTATTTGCTTCAGATCAAGCAGTAGAATTAAACAAAACTATTCTTTGATTGTGAAAGACGTGAAACTTATTTATATCCCCGAAGTTTTTAAGTTTTTAACACAATCTAGGTGTGCTGATTCTTACAGACTGATGGCACTCGAAACTTGGCGAGAGTATACTTAATTAAATACCAAAGTTTCCGGTGTCTTAGAAAACATGTTTCCTATTTCCTCTGTATGATTTTCGCCGCTAAATGATATTTGGAACTTTGTTCTTTCCTGTAGAATGCCGTTCACAGTTAAGTCTGCAATAACATCGGAAGTTTTTATGAAGATGCCTTAATTGGAAAGGATTTTCTTTGTGGCATCCGAGTGAATCTTCCTGAGAGCACTTTAACTGTCAGACCTACCTGATTCAAAACAGGAAAAGTTGCCAACAAGTGGGGCTTTTGACACTTCTCTTCTTAAAAGATGCTCGAAATAAATAATCTGTTTTATGTTAAAGATTTCTAAATAATAATCCAGTTTCTCAACTTATTGAGTGAAATTACAACATCACAAAAGATTCGAATCAGTGACAAAACATCTGGTTCTAGTGGAATGACAAAAAAATTGCATAATTTTTGAACAGATCACTCGGGGACTAAGTGTTCATGAGAACAAGGATGACAAGATGGCGCTGCATATGAACATATTATCCTCTATTAAGTAATGTATTCACTTGATTTGAAGCATATGGTAGTTAGTAAAACAAATCTAAATAACATTCAGACTGTCAAAAATACGAAATATATATTTTTGAATCGACGCTGTTACGCCGGTGTGGAAGTTTAGCTAGGCGTGGATCACTTATCAACAACCGAAAGAAACACGACAACATGCCAAGCTGCATGGGTACTTGACTATAGCCCTTTGGTTTAGTCGGTCGACTTATATGGTCAAGGTCAGTACTCAATTGTGAATGATGATGAATATGTAGGCTAATGATATTAAGTGGTAATAAAGAAATCTAATAATATGGTAGGATGACATATACTACTGATTATGATGAGAGTAGTTTCAAATCACTTACGTCAAATATATATCATGACAGCGGCAAGTAATTCGTAAGGGAATCTTCCCACATGAAAAACACATTTTGATTTTTTTTCGATGTTTCTCTGCAATATACCGAATGTGGATGACATTTTGGATTTCATTTTGTAAACATATGCAATATCAAAGCTGTACAGTATCATATCAGAAAGTGGTGAAGTGGGAGCTGGGTATTTACTGATAACATTTTCACCCGTTCCCCTGTTTAGAAGATTGTGGTTATCGCTGGTATTTTGTAATGTTTACAGAGCACGCGTAGATTTCAAATATATACAAATAGCACTTCATATACTGCACACCTAATTCCACTTCACTATTAACTTTGGAGAATACATTGTATCATTCGAAAACTCAGTTGACACTCTCAACAGATACCAACTCAGCATTAATCAAACCCCAGTATTCTGAGTCCAATAAATCAATCAAATAAATCCACATTCGTCGCACATTTATTAAAAACCTGAGTGAATGTACTCAAACCAACTCTTAGTAAACTATCCATAGAGGTCCGTAATTCTCAGGCAAAGAAATCTCAAATTCTAGTGTTATTTTCTAACAATACTCATAGAGAGAGCGAAAAGATTACAATTAAGGAAACGACTACTGTTGGCGAAATTCGAGCACGCTGAGATAGAAATGAAACGTGTGAGTGGTAAGGGTGAGATTTACACTTGACTGTGAGAAGAGTAATCACTGGACATAGCACTAAAATCAGTAGCTGTTATAAGACATTTCAACTGGAAGCACTCATGATGAGATGACAGTAACCCAACCATGTATTCACTATTAGTTCGTTCAATCTCACATTCGGGATATTATCAGCACCATGATAAGCAGTCTTTCTAAAAGAATATATAAGCTATCTACTATAAGCTAATGGATATAAGTGTATTTTTTGAGTGAAAGTGTGGATACGAATTAAATGGATGCAGAGATGGATTATATCGCCACTTCCATTCACTCTCCATTTATTCAACAAAGTTTGTTGTTGTTATTATTAAGATTATCCCAGTGAGACTGAAGTCCACTAAATACACTTTAGAGTCTTGTAGGTTTGACTGTAAAATTCTTTTCAAAAATGTGCTTCCATAATATAAGCTTGCATTGAGTAACCAATTCCAAAGACTCCATGCTGGTGTTTATCCGCATTAGATATATTACAGGCCTACATAATGACCATTTAAGTAGCTTATTTTTGACTGCTGCTGGGGAAGAAATGTCTCCTGGGCAGAAGTATCCTGTCAAAGGAATACACTTCAGTTACACTGATAACTACGACATGATTGAATTAGACAATTGGAAGTTGATCCTTTCTGAGTTAATTTGTGGTGACGAAATTCCTCAGCCTATTCACTTACACCAACAATCACGAATATAATCAACAGTGAAATCATCCAGGATTAATGATGCAGAAAAGTCTGCTGTCAGCAAGCAACACATAACAATTCTGTTTAATATTTGACAGAATTCAATAGCTGTAGTCATCCTCTGATAACGTCATTTGTATCAACTATACCAAAATAATATTATGAATTCAATAGTGCTTACAGCATCAGGCTTGTCAAATGTCGACGTGCAATGTGTTAAGTCAACTCATCTTTTTCTTTTCTTTTTATTCCTTCACGTTCCCGGTGGAACATAGCGTTTCAAGCTAGAGGCTAGAAGTTTCTGTAGCAGTGTTTATTTTTACAGGATGGGGTTGCTAGCCTCATGCCCAAACTTTCCTCTTCACCAGCTTTAGTTCGGGATTAGTGAGGTAAAGGAGTGCGCTGGCCGGGGATCGGACCTCGGACCATGTGCATGGTCGGCGAGAGTCCTAACCGCTATGTCACATCAATCAAAATTGTGTCAGCCAATAATGCGAACAGCTCATAACAATAGTCATACATATTTGAGCACACCGCATTTGTAAATAGGAATCCAGCTATCTTAGGAGGTAGATGTTGGTTATAAGTACATATGAAGCATTTTATACACGAACGACTTGGGTAGAATTATAAAAATCTACAAGAAATCAAGGCGAATGAAATTTTCATGTTTCACTACAGATATATAATAACAATGACCGACATAACATATGAAATCCAATGAAATTCATTACCACATAGCATTATTATTATTATTATTATTATTATTATTATTATAAAAATGGATAGGAAGACAGAACCACATCGCAATCATATTTGATACTGAACAAACTGAACATATAATATCATGTTGATGAAATTATAGCAAGCCATATGCACTCCAATCTTAAAACAGACAAAGATAACCACAACTGTCAGCTATACCACACGTTTACCCTCTACATTCTTCAAACTATCACAATCAAAATACATAAGTTTCCCTCCCCAATCATCTAAACAACCCATATTTAAAGGATTAACATTTCACTCCGAACGTTTTCAACTCTTCAAACAGAGTCAAATTTCACACTGAAACGTCAACATAACACAAAAGTCTATCCCTGTGTTCACCAATACTCCACATCAATGCAACATCCCACAGTGATAAAAGTGCTGGAAATTCACCACACACCTCCATTCACACACACACACACACTACACGAGCAATTCACATTGACAAACAAAAATACTTGTGAGAGAGAGAGAGAGTGATAATCTTCACCAATCAAGTTGAAGTACTTCTGATAATGTCACGTGAAATAACAATCATCCTGATATCACCACACACACACACTCACACACAGAGAGAGATGAAATGCTGAACACCAAGGAGTCAGAATGAATCAAAATGTGAAACCAGATGAGAGATAATTCCCACACTATTCTATAAAAAAATGATAGCAATAATAATGATAATAATAATAGCGATGATAACAATAATAATAATAATAATAATCATAATCTCAATGACAATACACAGAGAGATCAAGGGAGGAGAAACAAACAGATTGTAAGTTCAACAACAACGCCATCTTCTCCAATCATTCACTCATTCATTCATCTAATCACAATTCAATCAGTCAACGTAAGAAAACAACACTGATCATTTCAAAAATAAAGTACGATAATAAACTATAAGAGAAACATCAAAGAGATTAGTAAGCAATCATTCATGAATGAATGAAGAAATTTGTGCTGGTAATCTGTATACCTGGAATACACACTTGAAGTGAAGAAGAGATACAACTCAAAATCATGCTCAATAATGATAGTCACCAAAGAAAGAAAACAAGTAACAAACAAACAAATTCAGCACTTGATTTTACTTGATAACAAAATAAGAGAGTTTACGTAGCAAACATTACATCAATAAACAAAATACAAGGAGTGTATACCTGAGGAGAACAAAATCAATGATGATAATCCACTGTCAACAAAATGTCTCCAAACATTATCACAAGAACCCTTCCCCCTTGTTCGTAACAATTACCACTTCTAATTCTACTTTTATGTAGTTGTTGTTCGTCACATTTCACATTATCTTTGTCACTTTATTCATCATCACAAGGACGAATGAATGTAGACTTCTAATACATTTCGAATTGTCATCTCTACTTATTTAGACTGAAAAATACATTTACAAGCAGTTTCATCTAATCTTACTCCACTGATGGTGTATAATAAGCAGTTGAATATTTCTTCCTGTGATATATACTCACACATTTAGAAGAATCTTACAGCATGTTCCTCATTCAAACAGGAGTCTTCATTGGGTGGTGAGTATGTAAACTTACTTCCTCAATTATTATTTGTGCAGATAGTGAATTTTAGAGAAAATAAAACGAAGTGATTCAGCTGGGAGACTCTTTCCAACGAATTTATCACATGCTCTACAACCGTATATATATATCTTGAGGAAACTGAAAGAAAGGTGTGAATACATGAAATAATAATAATCGTAGTATGAAATGCAATTAAAATGTTTGTAATTGTAATAACGGTTAAAAATCCAGTGACAAAACAAATAATTTCATGTATAGAATAGTTTTCAAGTATTGTTTCGCGGGGATTTTGATTAATTATAGGTTTGATGACGATTTGACATCAGTTAGAGAACCGTTAGAGCACCATCAGGGACTAGTGGATAGCTGTTTGCTACGCCCTATTTTCGGACTCCCCTGCAGTACACACCCTCTGTGGTTCGAACCTAGGCCCTTCTGGTTACACAGTGAGCTCGTAGACTACTCGGTCATTGAGACGACATCCAATGGCCAGCACATGAATTTCCAACTCCCGCCAATTCGTGATGTATTTTATAGCGGAACTACCAGCCAGTTTCATAGGCGAGTAACTGTTGTTTTACCAGACTTGGTGCACCCTGCTGTTTACGAAATCTCACTACAAATCCAGGTAACTTCCCTTATAGAGCGATGGCCTGGCGTGCTACGTCCTTCAAGGGCATCATGTGAGTGTATCGGATCCAGCTCCAATTTCTTCGGAATATGTGCTGAGCCATAGGCTGTTGGTTGGTTGGCTGGTTCACTGACTTTCTTATTTCTAATTCTTTCTGGCTAGTTATCCCATCTTCAGTAGTGAGTCAGAGAAGGTAGCTGTTAATAAAATTCTGTAACCTGTTGGAAATGCCTTTCTTAGGTCACAGTGCAAGTTTGTATCCAGTATAGAAGTGATTGAGATTACGTATGTATTGTGAATCCGTACTTTGTTGTTCGTGTATTTGAAACTATGCTGCCCGGTCGGATAAGTGAAGGAAGTGACTTCTTCCAAATATCTTCCGTTGATAGTAAGTGATGCTTGTTGTTGTCGGTTGATTATTTCCATCACCTCTGTCAAAGACGAACAAGTGTTGAATTACTAACGCATAATATAGGTGATTCATTATTTCTACTTAGCTTTCTCTCAAGTATAAATGATCTGTGCTGGTATTTTGCTTTTGTGTAAAGCTTAAAATGTTCTGACAACTAAATCAAATAAGAGTGGAAAGGATTGGTAAATTCATTAAATGAGGATCGATCGTTCACAGTGTTTAGATACACTTCGTTGACAGTGTGTTATTATTCATGAATTCACAATCAATGTTGCTCTCCTCTGGTATATACTCTTTGTATTTTGTTTATTGGTGTAATGTTTGTTTTGTAAACTCTCTTATTTTGTTATCAAGTGAAATGAAATGCTGAATTTGTTTCTTTCTTATTTTGTTTCGTTTTTCTGGAGACTATCATTAATAAACATGATATTGAGTTGCATCTCTTCTTCACTTCAAGTGAATATTCCAGGTGTGCAGATTACCAGAACAAATTTCTTTATTCATTCATTCATGAATGATTGTTTACTAATCTCTTTGATGTTTCTCTTATGGTTGGTTTATCGTTGTACTTTTATTTTGAAACGATCAGTGTTGTTTTCTTACGTTGACTGATTGAATTGTGATTAGATGATTGAATGAATGAGCGATTTGAGAAGATGGCGTTGTTGTTGAACTTACAATCTGTTTTTGTTCATCCTCCCTTGATCTCTCTTTCTGTGTATTGTCATCGAGATTATGATTATTATTATTATTATCATCACTATTATAATTATTGTTATTATTGCTATAGTTTTGTTGTAGAATGGTGTGTGAATTATCTCTCATCTGGTTTCACATTTTGATTCATTCTGAAACTTTGGTGTTTGGTATTTCTTCTCCGTGTGTGTCAGTGTGAATGTGTGTGTGCGTGGCGATATCAGGATGATTGTTGTTTTTCGTGATATTATCAGAAGTACTTCAACTTGATTGTTGAAGATTATCACTCTCTCTCTCTCTCACAAGTATTTTTGTTTGTCGATATGATTTGTTCTTGTAGTGTGTGTGTGTGTGAATGGAGGTGTGTGGTGAATTTCCAGCACTTTTGTCATTTTTGGATGTTGCATTGATATGGAGTATTGGTGAACACAGGGATTGACTTTTGTGTTTTGTTGACGTTTCTGTGTGAAATTTGACACTGTTTGAAGGGTTGAGAATTTCCGGATTGAAATGTTAATCTTTTGAATATGGGTTGTATAGATCGTTGAAGAGGACTTAGATATTTTCATTGTGATACTTTGAAGAATGTAGAGAGTGAATGTGTGGTGTAGTTGATATTTGTGATAAAGTATGTTTGTGCTGAGCTCTAAGTGAAGTTTGCTTGCCATAATTTCAGGAACGTGATGTGAGACGTTTATTTTCAACAGTCTGAATTACAACTAACAGATGATTCATTCTTCGCCTTTAATCTAATAATGTTTTATTTTAGTCTACATTTTCATTTTGATCTTATGTATGTATTCCTTCATGTTCTCCGTGGAACATACGGCTTCAAGCTAGGGGCTTGAATTTCCGATAGCTAGCAGTGGTAATTATTTTTACAGGATGGGTTTGCTAGCCTAATGCTCAAACTCCCCTCTTTACCAGTCTGATTACTGGCTTAGCAAGTTAAAGCAGCGCGTCGACGGGGGATCGTACCCCAGACCATATGTGGCGTGTTCGGCGAGCGCTCTACCGCTATGCCACCAACACACATTTCAGTATGACCTGCTTACTATTATTGAGTTGTTTTCTATCATCAATTTTCTCTTAGTTTCAGAGTGAACTATGCGTCTTTAATGGTAAATCTTTATTTCATCTTATATTTTGCTTTCGTCCTTTTCTTGTTGCGAGTTTGTGCTTCACATCGGGTGTCTCGTTGATGTGATCTTCTCTTTGTCTCTCTCGGACTCCTACCTGGCTTTGGTACTGGAGTTCCACTTTAGGATCTGACGCCAGAAATCATTGAACAGTCTTCTCTGCATGTAACGGATTCGTCTCCATTTACTTCGGCATATTTTGGGCTTTATGTTGTTGGTTGGTTTGTTTCAAGATTTGTTTGTTGGTAGTCCTTTCTTGCCCTTCATTATCGAGCTTTCGGAAACGCTTTTCATGACATGGCACATCTCTGAACCATATAAAAGCACAAACAAACTTGACATTGGTCATTGAATGTAGCAACACACATACTTCGTACTTAGTACAGAAGATTTCCAAACTGATTTTGGATTAATGGAGGTTTGTTTCTCCTTTCCGACCCTGCATGTTTTTGACATCCTCATCCGTGCTCTGCTTAGTTAGATAAGTGAGTGTGTTAACCTCTGTCAAATTTCTGGCGCTGATGGTGACTGGTGCTCTCTGTGGTTGGTTATTTATTTTCATCACCTCTGCCTTCTGTATGTTAGCTTGCAGTCCTGTCTTCACTGCTTCTTCTAATAATTTGTTAGCTTTCACCTATAGGTTTTCGAGTTTGCGTGACATTAGACGTAAATCATCCGCTACATTCAGATCTTCTAGACTCTTGTTATCGGTCCAATGTCTTCTCGTCTTCTCATTTCTCATAGTCTGCGGTATGATGCAGTCTACCACAGTTAGGAGTATCACCTCTCATAGTATTCAGACTTGT